TACTACTACTACTGTGTTACTACTACTACTACGGCTCTACACCGACTACTACTGACTGCTGCTTGTACGCTCTACTACTTAGTACTGAATGTAGTAGTAGTAGTAGTAGTAGTAGTAGTGGTAGCAGAATTTGTACTACTAGTACTGCATGTAGTAGTATTCGTGGTCGTTGTAGAAATAGTAGTCATCGCAGTGGCAGTAGTAGTAGTAGCAGTAGTAGTAGTAGCAGTAGTAGTAGTAGTAGTAGTAGTAGTAGTGGTAGCAGAATTTGTAACAGTAACAATTGTAGTAGTAGTAGCACTAGTGATAGTAGTAGCAGCAGCAGCAGCAGCAGTAGTAGTAGCAGTAGCAGTAGCAGTAGCAGCAGCAGTAGCAGTAGCAGTAAGGGTTGGTGTAGAAGTAGCAATTGTAATCATGGTAGCAGGAGCAGCCGTAGTAGTAGTAGTCGTCGTCGTAAAAATGATAGTGGTACTGGTAGTCGTAGTCGTAAAAGTAGTAGTCATAGTGGGGGTAGTAGCGGTAGCAATAATGATAGTAGTGGTGGTGGTGGTAGTACTAGAAGTAGTAATGTATTTGCAATGTAAAAGTAGTAGTAGCACTAGTAGTGGTGGTGGTAGTAGTACTAGGCATAGTCATCGTAGTAGTCGTAGTAGTAGTAGTAGTAGTAGTAGTAGTAGTAGTAGTAAAAGTAGTAGTAGTAGTAGCAGTAGTACTAGCAGTGATAGTAGGAAAACTGCTAGCCGTAGCAAAAATAGTCGTAGTAGTAGTTGTTGTTGTAGTAGTAGTAGTAGGAGCGGTAGTACTAATAGTAGTAGTAATCGGAGCAGTAGTGGTTGTAGTAGTAGTAGTAGTAGTAGTAATAGTAGTAGGAGTAATAATAGGAGTAGTAATAGTAGTAGTAGTAGGAGTAGTAGTAGTAGTAGTAGTAGTAGTAGTAGTAGTAGTGGTAGTAGTAATAGTAGTAGTAGTAGTAGTAGTAGTAGTAGTAGTAGCGAAAGTAGTAGTAGTAGTAGTAGTAGAAGAAATAGTAGTAGTATTAGTAGCAATGGTAGTAGTAGTAGTAGTAGTAGTAGTAGTAGTAGTAGTAGTAGTAGTAGCAGTAGTAGTAGCATCGTAGTAGAAGTCGTAGTAGTAGTAGTAGTAGTAGTAGTAGTAGTAGTAGTCGTAGTAATAGTCGTAGTGATAGTAGTGAATGAGTGAATGAGTGAGTGAGTGAGTGTGTGAGTGAGTGAGTGAGTGAGTGAGTGGGTGTAGTAGTAGTGAGAGTAGTTATGATAGTAATGGCATGAGCAGAACTCATCTTGAGCAATGGTAACGGAAAGGGAGAAGGAAGGATAGTGGAGAGGAAGGACGGGGGCCGAAGGGGAGCATGGAGGTAGGAAGGAAGCAAGATTGAGGCAGTGGGGAGACATGAAAAGAAGGAACAGAGGAGTGAGGAGGGCGCGTTCCTTAATGACCCGGTGGAACTTGCTGCCCTCGTAGCCAAAACCCTTCTCGCCCGTGCACAGGGCCCTGAAGACCGCCGGCCCGCCCAGGGCACCGCCGAGGCTGTCGATTCCTGTGTGCGCAGTGGCACAGAACGTTCACGTGAGTTCGCCAGCCTCTGATGGGTGTGTTTTCCACCACCACCACCACCATAAGTTGGAGGGGGAGTCCTCCTCCTCCTCCTCCTCCTCCTCCTCCCCTACCTCCTCCTCCTCTCCTCTCCTCCTCCTCCTTCTTTCTTCCTCTTCCTCTTCCTCTTCCTCCTCCTCTTCCTCCTCCTCCTCCTCCTTTTTTTCCTTTTCCTCCTCCTCCCTTCCTCCAACTTCTGGTAGTGGTGGTGGAAAACAGGCTCATCAAGCTCCACTTGGCGGCACGCAGAGGAGGGCGGGGGGAGGGGGGAAGGCTTCTTAGAAGGAGGGTGTTTCTTAGAAGGCGCCGGCCTCACATCTACAGACAACGCCCGCGCCTTCCAAGGAGCAGGGGTGTTTATAGGAAGCCCCCCCCTCCCCGGCCCCCCTCTGCGCATGGCCGACTCCCCCCATTCAGACCTCATCCGGGCATCCAATTTTCCCTGATTGAGCTTCTGGAGGCCTGTACTGGGCCCGTGGGACTGTGAAGAATGGGCCGGGACGGATGAGAATCCCTGGCACGGAGTCCAGGCACGAGGCGTCGCCGAGTCCAGGCCGGCTCCCCTCGTGAGGTAGCTCAAAGCACGCTTCGCGCGGCGACGGAAGCATGAACCCTCGCCGCGCCCCCCGCGCAGGAGGAGGGGAGGGCAGCAGGGCATCGTCCTCGCCCTGGTCCCTGAGGCTTCATGCCAACGACTGCACCCCCCGTGGATTCCGTCGCCACGCGAAGCGTGCCTTGAGCTACCTCACGAGGGGAGCCGACCTGGACTCGGCGACGCCTCGCCGAGAGGTCGGCGACAGCAGCCCCTTCCCGTGCGAGGCCGCACGCCAGACGGGGCAGAGTGGGGCGCTCAAGCCCCGATCGACGATGAGTCGGCGACTTGGGGTCGTCGTGTTTTCCCCCTGGGCCAGGTCGGGACGCACACAGGCACACTGCTCGGCGCCGCCTTTGTGCGGCACCAGCGTTAAACCGACAGTTCTTGCGGCGGCAACCGTGTTGCCAAGGTGTCCCGCTGCAGGGGTCGTTCGGCCGTCCGCGCCAGGGCGCCCAGCTCCGCAAAGGAAAACGCTTTGGCACGCAAACACCCATACGTTTGTCGGAACCCTCGTCAAAATCAACCTCAAAAATGTGTTGCGTGGCTGAACTGTTTGTTGGGAGATCTTGGACAGAATAGCGATGACTGCGGGGTGCATGTATGCGCCGACCCTCCAATGTCGGTCATCCTCGAACTTCCGAGCCGTTCCGGGTCAGACCACATTTGCCCTGGCCCGGACATTCGAAGGGCGTCGTATCGACATTGACGGGCGCGCCGACATCGAAGGGGCGTGTTCGCCATATTTGATGTTAATGTCGATGGGGGTAATAGTACTTTGTGTCCTCCTTGGCAGCGTGCGTCCGACCCGAACATATAGTACAACCATCTTGTAGTTACGGAGCACCCCGCAGCTGCGGATAAGAGTGCGGGGGCGGCGGGGACGTCGGCAGCCTGCGAGGCTCTGAAGAAACCCGCCGCAGGGGCCTAACTTTACCAATTATACAACGAGCCCGCCGAAATCGCCGATGTTCTCGTTACAGCACTGCGGGTGGGTTGCAGGCGGGTCGCGGGTGAGTCGTGCGTGAGTCGCGGGCTGGGTCGCGGGTGAGTCGTTGGTGGGTCGCGGGTGGGTCGCGGATGGGTCGCAGTTGGGTCGCGGGCTGGGTCGCGGGCTGGGTCGCGGGTGAATCGTTGGTGGGGGTCGCGGGTGGGTCGCGGATGGGTCGCGGTTGGGTCGCGGGCGGGTCGCGATCGGGTCGCGGGCAGGGCAGCGGGGGGGATGACGACAACAAACAACAACGAACAACAACCAACAAACAACAACCAACAAGCAACAAAGAACAAACAAGCAACAAACAACAAACAAGAAACAACAACCAACAACAACCACCAACCACCAACAACCAACCAAGAAAAAAACAAACAAACAACAAACAAACAACGAACAACACACAACAAATAACAAACAACACACAACGAACAGCAAACAACAAATAATAAACAACAAACAACAAACAAACAACAAACAACAAATGACAACCAACAGCCAACAGCCAACAAACAACAAACAACAAACAACAAACAACAAACACCAACAAACAACAGCAATAACAACAACAATAACAACAACAACAACAACAACAACAACAACAACAGCAACAGCAACAGCAACAGCAACAGCAACAGCAACAGCAGCAGCAGCAACAACAGCAGCAACAACAACAACAAAAACACCAACAACAGCAGCAACAACAAGCCGAGCTGCAGAACCTCACTTCGGCTACGCGCCCAGGGACAGTGAATGACCGTTCGGCCCCCTCACCCTGATGCTGTTTCCCGAGCGTCGTGGCCAGATGGCGCCCGCCGCCGAGTTTATACTCTAATACTACAAGAGATATCGGGGCGCGCGTGGCCCCTCTGGGGGCGACGCACACGTAGCGTTAGCAGGTTGGGGTGGCGCAGACAAGCTCCTCTTCTTCGGCGCCCCCTCGGGTCTCCGCGGCTCTGGGTCCAGAGAGGCTGCGTGCGGGCTGCCATCTCGAACGCCCACCGGCACCCGCGATGCCGTCGCGACGAGACGGCACGACCCTGCCATGCCGCCGACGCGCTGGAACAGAGGACACCACTGGCTGGGCAGGAGCCTCGTCTTCGGGGGCCGTCACTTGGACCCGCGCTAGAGTGAGGAAGAAAGTGAGGAGGAGACCATGGAATCAGAAAAAACGCCGTAAACATAAACTGTCAGCGCTCCGCGCGGATCTCTTGGCCCCAAAAGCTTATGTTTATGGCGTGGTTTCTTCCTCGAGACCAGCTCCTGGGGGAGACATCGAGCTGGAATCGGCGACACATCGCAGAGAGATCGGCGATGCTGTCGGGACCCGATGCGCAACGGATGGGCGATTGGGGGTCAGCGCATCCCCCCTTGGGCCCATCCCCCCTTGACGTTGCCCCTGATGGAGAGCTCGTCCATGGTCGAGGCCCGCCGTGCCCAGGGAAGCCTTTTTTCCTGCTCCCGATTCAGGAGTCCGCCGTACTGCCAGACTTCAGCTGCTGGGGCAAGCAGGATACCAAAAAAGCGGCATACAAGCATAAACTGTTGGAGGTTTCGCGCGGAGTTCTTAGGTCTGCGCTGGACCCCCTCCCCGCACCCTTCCCAGGCGCGAGCAGCGCACCCGGGGGAACCAGGGGCGTGCCCGAGACGCCGCCCACGAGAGTGAGGAAAGGAATGCAATGCCGACCCGAAAAATCCGCGCGGACCTCGGAAAGGCTATGCTTACCTCGTTCTCTCGTTCTACGCTACTCGATGGGGGTAGTGGGCATCCCCGACGAGCCTGGGCGGGGATGCACGTCGCGATCACGTTGGCGATGGTTTCCGAACGCGTCGTGGACCACTCAGTCTCGAACGATGGTCCGCTTCGCGGTATTGGAAAACCCTTCCGCGCTCCTCGAGTCAGGGCCAGCGGCGGCCTTCAGCCTCGAACGCCCGCGCCTGCGCTGCCGCAGCGTCGACTCGCCACGAGCCAGCCGTGGCGGATCTCTCGCCGGCGAGCTCGGGCGGAGGGAGAAGGACAGGCGGACGGGGAGGGGGATGGGGAGGAAGAGGGAGGGGGGGTCTGCCGAGGGTGGGGGAGGGGATTTTGGGGGGGCACGACCGCTGTGCTGCGTACTCAAAGCACACTGGAAGTGTCCTGCAGGGGGGTGGCCCCACTCTCCTAGGGGTGGAGGCCCTTGCAAACTTGATGCCAGCCGTGGGGGGTAAACTTGCTGCCGAGGCGAAACCCCCGATGCAGAAAAACAGAAACACAAACCGACCCCCAACAGGCACGCTCCAAGGCAATGCCCGCGTACACAAAGGGGGGGAGAGGGGAGGAAGAGGGAACGGGTGGACGAGACGGGTTTGTAGCAGCGTTTCCCCACCCCCGCAGCCAAATGCCTCGGAGGCCCCACAGAGGGCCGCTCTGGCAGCACGCGTTGTGCTCTGCACACGCGATGGGCCCAGGACACAAGTCATTGAGAGCAAAGAGGGGGGAGGGGAGAAGGAGAGGGAGGAGGAGAAGGCGACGGAAGAAAAATAAGAATAAGAAGAAGAAGAAGAAGAAGAAGAAGAAGAGGAGATGTGCGAGGGAAGGGTTGACCGAAGGGACGACCCCCTCCCGAATATCCGAGGGTAAAGTCGGTAACGACGGATGAAGGACGATGATGAAATTTGTACCCCTCTCCACCAGTCCAACAGTCAGCGTTTGTGATCCAATCCGCCACCGTGCCTCTGGGTACGGCGTGGGCAGATCCTCCGGTCATTTGCCTGGCCCCTGGGGCCTCAGCCCTCAGTCCTCGGGAGTCTCTCAAGGACCCGACCCCAAATTCCGAAAAATCTCTTGGGGTTCGGCGCATGCCCCCCTGGGCTCCCCCGCGTCTCCCCGCGCACCTTCTGCGGGCCCCAAAGAGGGCCCCAAGACGCGCCAGGAGGGCCCCAAGGGGCCCCGAAGTCGGTCCAAGACGGTCCAAGGCGGCCCCGAGTCGCCGAACGACCGCTCCAAAACGCGCAGGATGGCCCCCTGACGGACCAACAGGCCTCCAAGACGTCCCAAGAGGCCTCCCAAGAGGGCACAAGGGGCAAAATCTGAGATGTTTGAAAATTGTTGATTTTCTCGCATTTTCGGTTTCCCGACGTTCCGGGACGACCCAAGAGGCCCCCAAGATCGCCCCGAGACCCAAGAGGCTTCCAAGAGGGCCCCAAACGGCCAAAGAGGGCACCAAGACGATTCAAGAGGCACCCAAGGCTGCCTAAAACGTCCCCAAGACTGCTCCAACAGGGACCAAGAGAGGGAACACGAACCGAAAATCCAAGCCTTCCGCCTCAAGAGGACCCCACGAAGCGCCCACCGGCGCCCAGGAGGCCCCAAGAGGCCGCCAAGAGGCCCCAAGAGGCCCCAAGAGGCCCCCAAGAGAAGAGGCCCCCAAGAGGCCCCAAGAGGCCCCAAAACGGCACCCACGAGGCCTGCAAACTGCATCCAAAAAGCCCCGAGAGGATTCCCACGAGATCCCGACGAACATCCATTAGGCTTCATACCCACAACCCAAGCACGTTGTCGGGATGGCCCGAACATCATTGGACACCTGCAAGCCGAAAGGGGCCGCAGGTACACTGAAGGAGAGGATAAGTGGGAGGTTCATTCACAAGGGAAGGGGGAGGGGGCGGCGGGCGGCGGCGGCCGCATCGGCTTTTCGGCGGTCTTCGGCACCCGCTTGCCGTAGAGGCCCATGACTATGCGCCCAGCGTCCTGGGCAGGGCGGCGGCGGAGGCCAAAGAGCAAGCACTCGCCCGTCGAGGATTGAACGAACGACCGCCACTACAGCGAAGGCTGTTCCAACTACGGGGATGGGCATCTACGCCGCATTGCTCAGTGCGTATTCTCGACGACCCCGTCGAGAACACGCACTGGTCGGGATCGGACTCGGGTTCGCGGCGTCCGGCGTCTGCTCGGAGCTATCGCGAGTGAACGCTTGAAATAACTACCTACCAGACAAGAGCGCGTTTCTTTATGTTCGGCGATGACGGGCGTCATGGGGGGGGGAGGGCGGAGGGGGGTATGACGTGACGCCCCCCCCCGCCGTGTGGTTCCGGCACCACAACCGCGCCCGCGCGCACGACGCGACGAGCGACGAGCGACGAGCGACGACGACGACGACGCGAGCAGCATGTAAGTGGCGATCTGCCCATTGCGCCTGTGTACACCACAACGCTCGCGTGCACCACACCGCGCGTGTGCACCACAGCGCCTGCGTACCCCGCAACAACCGTGTGCAACGCACCGCCCGCGTATACCACAATACGTGGGAGTACTACAGCGCTGGTGTACATACACCGCAACAGCCATGTGCAACACAACGCCTGTGTACACCACTGTGCTTGCGTGCACCGCAGCGCCTGTGCACGCCACAGCGCCTGTCTACACCACGACATCCGCGTGCAACGCAGCGCCGGTGTACACCACAGCGCCTGCGTGCATAGGGCAAGTAGAAGGAGCATGTACGTCAGGATCTGCTGCGGACAACTCAACGCCACGCCAGGAAAGTTCTGAAAATCGAATGCGACGTTTTTCCCTCCTCCCTCCTCCTCCTCCTCCTCCTCCTCCTCCTCCTCCTCCTCCTCCTCCTCCTCCTCCTCCTCCTCCTCCTCCTCCTCCTCCTCCTCCTCCTTCCTCCTTCTACCCCCTGCCGTGCGGCTTGGCGTTGGTTACAACGCACGTGCGCATCTCAGCGTGCACCGCAGAATGGTCGATTGAATCGGTCAACTTGGGTCTCGGACGGCCAGTTTAGCTGGAGCCTCCTGGACGCAAATGGGAGTTAGGGTGATGCGGGCGGACTCGGGGGGACTCGTAGATTCCAGCGGCGCTCCTTCGTCCATGAGGATTTGTTTTACATTGTTTTCTCTGGAATCCACACGCGTTCCATTTTGTCAGAAGGATTCCTCCTGAAATTTTATACACAACAATGGTGCTGCGTTGCACACGGCTGCGGTGGTGCACACACGCGCCGTGGCGCACACAGGCACTGCAATGCACGCAGGCATTGTGGTGTACACTGGTGCTGTGGTGCGCACGGCTGATGTGGTGTACGGAGGCGCTGTGGTGCACACAGGACCTGCTGTGCCCGCAGGCACGGTGGCACAAACTGACGCTGTGTTGCACGCGGCTGCTGTGGTGTACATCGGCGGTGTGGTGTACACAAGCGCTGTGGTGCACGCGGGCTCTGTGATGTACACAGGCGTTGTGGTGCATATCGCCACCTACATGTTCGTGCTACCCGTCCTCCGTCACTCCTAAGCATTCCCAGACGCCGCCGGCGCAATACGTGACGTCATCGACCCCCCCCTCCCCCAGATGATTGCCGTCATCGGCCCGGATTTAAAAACAGGCTCCAGCCGCGTCCGCGCGCACGACGACGATGAGCGACGAGCGACGAACCACGAACGACGACGACGGACGACGACGACGACGACGACGACGAGGACGACGACGACGACGACGACGACGACGACGCCTGCGGACCAGACACCTATGCGGATTCCTACGCGGACACCTACGCGGATCCCAATGCGCACGGCGGCAGTGCCCGGAGCGCACTGGGAGGGGGGGAGCGTTACGTCATGGGGGGGGGGGCAGCGGGGGCCATGACGCCCGTCATGCCCCAAGCAGCAAAGAAACGGGCTCCAACCTCAACCCAACCCGAAGACCCGAATTTCGGGTTGGGCTGCATATGTGCGTTTTTTTTTCAAAGTTCCCCGACCCCCCCCCTCCACACTGGAAACCGAAAGTAAATTTAAACCTTCGGGTTGGGTTTGGGCGGTTTGGTGGGCGGCGATGAAAGCGCGCCGCGCGAGAACTCTGAGTGGCGACGCGGGGCGGCGGGGATCCGAGAGCGAGCGCCCGCCGGTCGAAGATCGGGACCGGGATGGGGGTCGCGGCGTTCGGCGCCCGCTCGGGCATACAGCGGTTAAGCGAGGCACGCGTGCACTTAACGAGAGAGGAGGAGGAGGAGGAGGAGGAGGAGGAGGACGGGGAGGAGGAGGAGGAGGAGGAGGAGGAGGAGGAGAGGAGGAAAAGGAGGAGGGGAGGAGGAGGAGGAGGAGGAGGAGGGAGGAGGAGAAGGAGGAGGAGGAGGGGGAAGCAGGCAGCAGAGGGAAGAGAGAGGGAGCAAACTTTTGGCAAAGCGGCGCAACAGGCCGCTTTCCGCGTTCGCACCCGCGCGTGCGCCTTGCTCGCGCAAACGAGCGGGCGCGTTCTGGCACGCTCGCGGCCGCCCGGCCCAGGGGCGACCGCAAGTGTCGAGGGGGCGTCAGCGGGGTGGGTGGGCACCTGATCTTGAGCCACTGGCTACAAAAAACCAAATGCCAAAAGTACCCAGCTGCTGCACTTGACCTGCGGTCTACCTGTAAATCCGACTGTGCAAGTTAAGTGAGGCACGCGTGCACATAACGAGAGAGGAGGAGGAGGAGGAGGAGGAGGAGGAGGAGGAGGAGGAGGAGGAGGAGGAGGAGGAGGAGGAGGAGGAGGAGGAGGAGGAGGAGGAGGAGGCAGCAGAGGGGAGGGAGAGGGAGCAAACTTTTGGCAAAGCGGCGCAACATGCCGCGCTCCGCGTTCGCACCCGCGCGTGCGCCTTGCTCGCGCAGACGAGCGGGCGCGTTCTGGCACGCTCGCGGCCGCCCGGCCAGCCGCCAGGCCGCCCCGGCCGGGCCCCCCCCCCGCAGCTGCGCGACGCAGCCGCCAGGGTCACCCCGCAAGCCGCGCCTGCGAGGCGCGGGCGGGCATCGCACGGGCCCTCGTCCTGCTGGCCGGCCTTGTCGCCCTGGTTAGCACGGCGGCCCTTGCCGCCCTTGCTGCCCTCGCCGCCCCGGTCAGCCCGACGGTCCTTGCCGCCCTTGCCGCCCTGGCCGTCCTTGTAGCGCTTGCTCTTGTCATCAGTGCCATTCGAGCCCTTCTTGCCCTTGCCCTTGGGGAGGTCCTTGCCCTTAGCCTTGCCAGTGGCCCGCTTGCCCTCAGACTCGGCCCTCTCCCGTTCAGCGCGCCGGCGGCGCGTCTCCTGCTCGGCCCGCCCCCCCGGGGGGCTCGCAGGCGGCCGTCCGACCTCCACGTCCTGCCCAGGGGGCGGGCTCCCTGGCGCGGGCGGGGCGCCCGCCGCCGCGGCGCGGGCCGGGCGGGGGCCCGCTCGGGGAACGCGAGGGGCCGCCCCCGCCCACGCGGCCCGCGCGCGGGCTGGGCGGATGGCTCGGGGAGCGCGGCGAGCCCTTGCGAGGGCTTGGATAGCCATCGCTCCGCTCCGACCCTTCGCCTTCTGCAGCAGATTCGGCGATTGACCTGTTGCTGGCCCTGCAGCACCACCTCAGTGGGCCCGCGTTGTTCCCCCTGGCGGGGCACTGCGCGCATGACCATGGGACGCCTCGCTTGCACACGAAGGTCGCCCAGCGCATCGTCGTCGGAGCCTCATCCTCGCACGACTGACACACAGTGCCCGTCAGCTGCTGAGCCCCCCCCCCATCGGACCCGCCGTCGGGGCCCCAGGGCGCCGAACCCCAGTAGCACCTCACCGGCGGGCCCCTGTCCTCGGGGAAGACGCGGTATAGTCGTCGCTCAAGGCCTCGAGCGCTGCGGACGCATGGCGGTGCCTCGTGAACTCCACCAGGGCCTGAGGCTCGCGCTTGTGCCTGGCGTCGCACAGGAATGCGACGTGCTGCGCCGCCCCGAACTCCCCCGCCACCTCGTGCACCTCGGCCACACCCAAGGTTGGCGGGACCCGAGCAATCCGAGTCAACTTCTCCCGCTGGTGCTCGTGCTCTGTGACCCTCCGCGGCATCGCCACCTGTCTCGGGCCAGGGGGCGGCACCCGAGGGGGGGCGTCGGCGGCTACGGAGCTCCTCGACGCCTCCTCTCTGCTGTCTCCATCCGAGCGCCCGCAGCGCCCTGCAGATGCCCCGGTGCCGCGGGCGTTGCCGGGGGCGCTCCCCGTCGATCCGCCGCGCGCCGGGTTGGCCCCTCGCGCGCGGCCAGCCTCGCTCGCTCCAGCGCGGCGCTGCGAGCGCGGGCGGCGATCCGCCTTGGCGATGGGCGCCTGCGCTGCCGGACGGCGCGAGCGTGACCGACGGGTGTCCCGCTCGACCCTCATCGAGGCTGGGGGGGGGGCTGCGCGGGGGGCGTGGGTCGCTGGCCGCGCTCGCCCTGCACGTGGCGCCTCGGGGGTGTGGGCCTCCTGCTTCGTGGTCCGGCCACGCGCTGGGCTGGCCCCCCGCCGCGCGCCCCCTGCGCGCTCGCTCCCGGACGACGTTGGGAACGCGAGCGGTGGCCGGCCCTGGAGGCACGCTTCGGCTTGAGTGACAGCCGCGGCCGCACGCGACGGCCATCCTGCGTGGCCAGCCCTGCGCCCTGCGGCGGGCTGCGCGGGGGGCGGGGGCCCCCGGTCGGGCCCGCCTCGCCGCCCCATCCACGCGAAGCCGCGGCAGCGTCCAGCCCGGAGGCCAGCGCCGGGCTGCACGGGGGACGGGGGCCCCCTGTCGGGCGCGCCTCACCGCCCCCTTCACGCGGAGCGGGGCAGGGGCCCCCGCCTGGGCGCGCCCCGCCACCCCCCTCCACGCGCAGCCGCCATCACGCTGGCCTCCTGCCTCGCGCGCCGCTTCGTTCGGGACGGTTCCTCGGATGTTCGCACGACCACAACCACGTACTAACCCTACCCCTACCCCCCACGATGTCTGACTTCGAGCGAAGTGAACCCCACCCTCCCCCTCAGAAATCGTGGGGGGTAGGGGTGGGGCTCGCATGTGGCCTCCTCCATGAGTGCAATCTTGCGCGGCAACTGCAAGGCTGGCGGGCGGTCCTTTCCCGACACGGGAATCTCGCGAGACTTGCGGAATAAAGAAAACTATAAGCATAAACTGTTGGCGCTCCGCGCGGACTTCTCGGATCTGCGCTGGGCCCCCTCCCTGGCGCGAGGAGCGCCAGGGGTGGCGCTCGAGGCGCCGCCAGGGGGCCCCAGCGAGGATCCAAGAAATCCGCGCGGAGCGCCAAAAGATTATGCGTGTGGCGAGGAACACCCCGAGGATCCGCCTGATCAAAGTGCTCGCCTCGGCGGTGGACAAGCCTCCCTGTAGTAACCCTCCCCCGAGCGAAAGAGGCCTGGGACCGAAACCGACGCACCTGGACCCGCAACAATGGCGGCCGCGACGCCCTCTCGCGAACCGGAAACGGCCAATTCCTTCATCGACGTGTCAGGGTAGGAGGTCTGAGAAGGAAAAGGAGGAGGAGGAGGAGGAAAAGGAGGAGGCGGAGGAGGAGGAAGAGGAGGAGGAGGAGGAGGAGGAGCCTTCCTTCTGATCTGCTACAGAGGTGCGAGGCAGCTCCGCTTCCCGCCCTGGCGGCAGACTCGTAGGGCGCCGGTCTTTCCAGGGCAGCGCTGCTTGCAGCGAGCAGGCATGACCTGCGGGGGCCTGCCGGGAGCGGATATCTGGGACACGGGGGGTGTGCTGCAGCATCGCGGACACCTCTTGGAACTGCTCTGGACGGTCTCCTCCTCCTCAAACCTGTCTCCTCCGTCGCGATCACGATCACGATCACGATCACGATCACGACCCCAAACCATCACGATCACGATGACGACGGCGGCAATGACGGAGCTGGGCCAATCAGGCCATCCTCTCCGCCTACGGTCATGTCGAAATAGACCTCGCGGCGGCCCAGGGGCGTGCGCCCGGTCGCCGTTGGGCCCGGGGAGACCAGGGCGTCGTCGCCTCCGCCGCAGCCGTCGTCCGTGTCGTCGCCGCCGTCGTCGCCGCCGTCGTCGCCGCCGTCGCCGTCGCCGCAGGTGCATGGACAATATCAGGGCACTTGCATGGAGGGCAACGATAGGGGGGAATGGCATAGGGGGCGGGGAGGCAGCAAATCAGCACCTTCCTATCAGCACCTTCCTGGGCGGGGCGGGGCTATCAAACCCCTATCTAGAAGAAGAAAAAACGCCATAAACATAAACTTTTGGCGCTCCGCGCGGATTTCTTGGAGCCGCGCTGGACCACCCTCCCTGGCGCGAGGCGCGCGCCAGGGGCGGCGCCAGAGGCGCTGCCAGGGGGGCCAAGCGCGGACTCAAGAAATCCGCGCGGAGCGCCAAAAGTCTATGCTTATAGCGCGTTGTTTCTTCTTCGACTATCGGCCGTCAGTGGGCGATTGGGGGTCGATGCGCCCCCCCCTGTGCTCTCCAATGCCGCCTCCGGGGTGCGACGTCCCTCCCCGAAGAGGCGGCGCCTGGCCCTCCTCGGCCGCCCTTCCTCGGGCTGCCCGGGGCTGCCCCGTGGCCCAGGTCTGGCCAGCCTGCTTCGAGCAACAGGCCTCCGGCTGCCTGCTTGCCCAATTGCACGGTTGCCCGTGCAGGAGAGCCCAGAATCGAATCGATAAGCCGGATCTGCGATCGAAATGAGTCGGATCGGTCGGCAGCCGAATCTGGGAAAATCGAATCGGCGGACATCGGCAGGCAAGTAGGACTCCAGTACGGAATCGGAGCCCAAATCGGAATCCCAAGTCGAATCGAATCGGAATCGATTCGGACCGAATCAGAGGAATCGAAATGAGCCCTGCCCATGTGGGCGACGATCAGAAACGGGTCTTACGCGAAATGGCATTGCGACCTCACGCCGCGGCCCACGCGGGCCGCCAACGCGGCACGCTACGTTGGAAATGGGGTCGTTTACGCGCGAGTTAACGCGGGCAGCTTACGCGGCAATGTCGGCGCAGACCGAGCGAGCAATGCCCAAACAACGCAGAAAAATGCAAAGCAACGCAGACGATCGCCAAGCAATGCCAAGCCCAGCCAAGCAACATCCAACAGACAAAACAACACAATACGATGGTCCACTGCCATTTTTTACCCAACTGCCCAATTGCCGTATTGCCTAAGTTGCCCGATTGCCAGACCGCCCATTTCCCAAGGTGCCAGCGTTGGTTCACTTGCCCTTTTACCCAGATTGCCCAGGTTGCCCACGTTGCCTGGCCGCCCGATTGCCCAATTGCCCAGGTCACCCGCTCGCCTGGTCGCCAAACAATGTTAATGACAAACACTGCCCAGCAACGCCAAGCAACGCCAAACAACTCAACGCAACGCACAATAATGCCAAACTATGCCAAACAACGCCAAACAATTCCAAACATCTCAAGCAATGCCAAACAACACCAAGCGACGAAAAGCAATGCAAAACTAGACCACGCAATTTCAAACAATAACAAGCCAATACGAAACAATGCCAAACAACGCCTAGCAGCGCAAGGCTACGGTAAGCAACGCCAAGCAATGCAAAATAATGGAAAGCATAGCGACACAACGCCAGGCAACGCCAAACCACGCAAAGCAAAGCAATGTCAAGCAGAAGCACAAGCAATGCCCAGCAAGCAAGCCCTCGCTTGGCCACTTATTTGGGAGGGTTTCCCCTCTCTGGCGCCGCGGGGGTCATCTTTTCACGAAAAGCTGGTTGACCCGAAAAGAACTAGCTTCGTGTCGAACGAAAAAGGAAGGACGGACAGGGGGCGGGGGCGGCGAGGACGACAAAATGTGTTCAGGATGACGATTCGGTTGTTTATCAGCATCCCCCTCCTCCCCGCGCTGCTCTCCCCGGCGGTCAAAGGCACACCTTCGCCCCCAACCCACCCTGATCAACAGGGGCACCGCCACAAAATAATATGCGACTTCGAACGCCGGCCCCCAACGCCACCTCCCAGCGCCGGATCAGCCAGCCAGCGCCGCCGACCGCGTGCTCGCGCGGCCGCGCCTTCTTGCCCCCACCGCCGCACGGAGATGACGCGCCGCAGCCCGGCGCAGATCTGCGCTCAGCTCGTCGCCCCACCGCGCTGCAACAGCGCTGGCGGCGGCGCAAGTTTCTGAGCTGCCGCTGGGCAATCGCGCGCGGCAGCGCGCTCAAGGGCCAGCCGCCGCAAGTGCTTGATCGCGCCTCGCTGCCTCCCGCGCAGACAGCATCAAACCGCCAAGGCGCGCGGCCGGCGGGGCAGCGCCTGCGTCTGTCTGTTTCGCCCCCCCTTGCCACGACCCCGTCGGTGCCCGACGCCGCCACCAGGGCGCGCCATTCGCTCAGTACGCTGTCGCGAACAGTCACGTCCGCCAACAGCCGCGGACAGCCGGCGCGCTGCGCCTCGAGGTCCAGCAGAGCTTCCTCTCGGCGCGTTTCCCAAGCGGCTCCGCCAATCACGAAAGCGACGGGGGTTCCGCGCGGCCGCGCGCCGCGCACCCAGGCGGCGCGCGGAATGCCCAGCGCCAGCGGTCCAAGGCAGGACGCGGACCTGGCGCTGGCGCGCCGTCTGGAAGCCGCACTCAGCGCGAATGCGCTTCCAAACGTCTTCGGCGTCGGGGCTGCTCGCATGCGCGCCCCCGCTGCAGGCGCACCAGAAAGCGCAGGCCTTGCAGCAAAGGGACTGGCCGCAGGGTTGCCTGGCGGGCGCGCCCGTGCGCACCCAGCTCCAGCAGCGGCCGTTCTGCGACGCGACAGCCTGCCCCAGACGTGGTTTTCCTCCTCCTCCTCCTCCTCCTCCTCCTCCTCAACCTCATCCTCCTCCTCCTCCCTCCTCCTCCTCCTCCTCCTCCTCCTCCTCCCCCTCGTCCTCCTCCTCCTCTTCCACCTCCTCATCCTCCTCGTCCTCGTCCGTTTCTTTACTTATACGTAACTCATCCCTGTCGCACCCCGAAGCCGATCGAAGGGGCGGGCCGGGCATTTCACCTGAAAGGTCCTTGCTACGTACGACCTTGAAACTTGACATTTGCAACATTTTCACGGATGGAGGGCGGGCCGTTTTCAAAATGTGGTTTTTACC